ATTTTATAGAATTGATTTAAAGGCTTTGGTGGAATCTATTTTCTGCTTCTTTCCTTCAATCCAAGCAAATATTACAGTTGGATTGAGAAAAATCTAATAAAGAAAATCTGATAGATAAAAATTAATAAGTAAATTATTAGTTACTATTAAATATAAGAAACTTTGTCTTATATTTGCATGAATTTGCATTTTTTATTTATTATACTTACTAAAGATTCAATTATAAATTGAAGCTAGTGATTTTTTGGGTGAGGAAATCAAACTGGCAGAAGTATCAAGAATATTAAAACAAATTTGATATTATTAGTTGCATATTTTCTAAAGAGCCCATATCATATGTAAAAATTGTGGATAAAGAAGAAATAATGGGTAAAAATAAAAAGTAAAAACAAAGTAAATAAAGTTTTAATGCACTTTAGCTACAAAAAATAGGGGAAGGACTAGGTAAGAGAGCAGCCGTTAAAATCTTTATTTGTGAAAAATATGTGGTGGTATAGAAAAACACTGAAGATATATTAACTCTCAGGTTGTGGATAAATTAGATAAAAATGTTCTAGAAGGAAATAAAACACTGAAAAAGGTGGTTTATTGGTGTTCTGCTTCTTCTTGCTTTTAGGTACTTGTTACATTTATTTTGCAATGTATATATGTTATATTACCAGAAATGAATTTAAAATCTAATTCCTATCAAATATAGTTCTTATTTTAATATTTTACAACACTTCATGAGTTAAGCAAAGCACAGAGAATAATTTTCTATTTTATAGTTGAGAAAACTTGGTAAATTCTCAATTGAAGGAGCTTGAAATAAAACCAGATCTTCCAAAGCCAGCTTCAAAGCTTCATCTATAATCATACTAGAATGACACAGGAGATAATATATGTGAACATTCTATGAGTTTTTCATGATAAAGTGCAACAATTGTAATCTAAGATATTATTAATAATGTTATTTATTTGATCTTCTTTGTATATATTCCTAAATTCTAATTGCTTGAAAAATAAATGTATCAGATCAGACAAGTATTAATAAAAAATATATAAAATTAAGTTAAATAGGTCAGGAATAAAAACTAATAATTACATTTATGCTTGATTTGTTACTATAACAAGTATTAAAAGGAAATCTAAAACTCTTTTACTTTACTTTAGGAATACACATAAGATGGTACTTCCAGTAAGAATGGAGGAAGTTATATTAAGAATATTAATAATGACTAAATATAAATGAGTCCATAAGGTAAGATGTAAAGGATAAAAATGTAAAATACACTTGAAAATAACTGGTAGGTTTCTAATAAAAAAAATCTATCTTAATCAGTGAGAAATTAAAGTGGAAACAAATTATCCTTATAATTATTTATTGAGGTTTATTGATAGGGCATCATTAAGAGGCTAAAGCAGTCAATAAGATTTAAGACAGGCTCTTTTCTAGAAGTCCACATCACTCCAACAGTAGACATAGTTCTTCCTATGCGTCCATACTCGGCTACTTATGCTGGCCTCCTTCCCTCATCCAGCATACACATGGCCAGTGCAAGACAGTGAACAACTTTAAAGCATAGATTGCCTTATCCATCTTTAAATGTGCCGCATCTAGCACAGTGCCCAGCAGTGTGTACGAATGCGTATTTGCATATGGAATCAAACTTATTTCAATAGCCTAAACCAAATCACCTCAAATTCGCATGTGTCAGAAAAAAACACATAACACATCCTCATATTTGTTAAGTGATTTGGAAGATCATCTGTATTTTCAGATAATCTTGCTGCTAGTTGCCTGTTCCATTAGGTAACATATATGAATATTCATACAGGGCTAATGTGTTTGATTAGTTTCAAACTCAAGCCATTTCCTGTGCGGTAGCCTCAAGTTGAGGGCCAATAATTTAAACTATTATATCCAGAAAAAGTTAATTATATGAAGTTTATTGATTCCAAGAAATATATTTTTATCACCTTTGCTTGAAACACAGATACCAAGAAATATGTCTTCGAATACAACAATGATGACAAAGGACAACTCACCCTAAGCCTCAGAGAAAGGGACAAAATTATAAGGAGTTGTGGGGACTGGAATAAACTTTCATGCCACTTCTATATGGGCAGTTTTTACTCCACTCTACCCGAGGGTGCTGTAGGAGTGCTGCGCCATTGTAGCAAGATTTGACTTTCCCATAGCTGGAAATCCAGATTTTTATTTAAAATGTCTCATTTTAAAAACGTCGGTAATTATTGAAAATATAAAACATTATATAGGCCGAATGAAACACTTTTACAGAGCACACTTGGCACACAAACTATTAGTTTGTGACCTTTCATTTTACAATTTGATTACTCTATTGTTACACACATAATTGAGACAGTCCTGAAATGTCATATGATCTGGCCACTTAAATGTCAAGGTAACTTTACTGATTAAAGAAAACTATATATTCAAGATTATACATAATCTTGAACATATATTTATACATAATCTTGATTAAGATTATACATAATCTTGAATATATTGTCGTTACATATTCACAATTTCAAAAACACCAAGTGTTTCACAAACTCAGCTCATTATGAAAATGAAAATACCAAAGCCCAGAGGTTGACAATAGAATAATTGAGCTATGATGATGCCACTGCAGTCTACATGGGGCTACAGACTCAGACTCTGTCTCCAATCATTATAAGCTTTAAATGTTTAAATGTGGTATAACTGAGTTTAGGTCATAAGTTCAAGTTGGTTCTCAATGTATGCAGATGCATGATTGTATTTCTAAATGATGACTAGCCAATTATAGTGACTACAAAGTTCTGTCATAACTGACATTTTAAATGAAGCATTGCACTAAGAAAACTAAAATTTCAACTTCATTTTAATCACTTCAGCTATTCAGAATTCTGTTAATCAAGTAGGAAAAAAATTATCTTCAACAACTGGAATGATTTATCTGTTTGTACAAATGTGAGAAAAATGATCACGTCTTCAAGTAATAGATTACAAGTAGGGAAGAAAGTTCACATTACAGCTATGCTGATGAAAATTACCTGCTGGCTGTTACAACAGAGCCTGTGAATTAATTAACCTTTTGCCATAAAAATCTAGAAACTTCAGCAAAGACTGAGCCTTCTCTGTTTCTCTTGCTCCAGCTTCCTCAGCATTTTAGAAAATGAAATGATGTGCAGTTACTGAGGCAAACCAAATATACTGAGAGTTTATCAATTTTCATGTTACTACAATAAAGCCATAACTTGTCATGAAAATATAGCAAGTTAGATGATTCACCCTTGGTGTTAGTTAATAAAAGATGATTAATAATGATTGATTTCTATACAGGTCTTTATTTTATGAATGAGATCAGTAGTTTCTTACTATCAATGTTGGCTACCTCTTAATTATTTACCTTTGTCTCTGTGAGAAAATAAAGTTAAAGCATGTCTTTTGCTGGTGTGTTTTTTTAATGAGTGCAAACATGCATTCCTATAACATCATTTTCAAAGGAATAAACACACTATCTATATTTAAGTGTATTGATCAAACTTTTGATAGTTTTCACTTGGTATCTAAAGTTTAAAAATCAGTTAACACTAAATATAATGAGAATTTGGGAAAACAATATTTCTAATAATTGATAGTAATATAAGCCACTGTATTTCTTCAGGTTGTTAAGGCAAAAATCAATCATGCTTTGTGAAGTTGAAAATTATACAAGATTTAAAGACTACTAAATCACACTTCAAATATTGACATGATAATTTACATGACTTTAAGCAAATGTTAGGAGCCACATTTTATCTTTCTCTTTGATGTAGTATTAATAGATCTCCTTAAGAGGTTAACAGATCCCAATATTTAATTGTTTAATAAGAAACAATTGTAGCTGTTCTCTTCCATTGGCCAATTTTTAGAGTTTAATTTTAATCAATTCATTATATCATTATACAGTTGACAATAGATAAGTCATCCCCTCAGTAGGTTACCAGTTATTCTTGTCTAGATAATAGATTATATACAAATTAAGTCCTCATTTAATGTCATCATTAGGTTCTTAGAAACTGCAACTTTAAGTAAAATGAAGTAAAAAAAATTATTAATGTTACAATGAAACAACATTGAACTAACCGACATTATTAGAGAACCCGCTGTCAGTCATTTCTGTTAGAGTCACAGTTTTACATTAAGAGAGGACTTACTATATATTGCTTTAGAATGCTAGAGTATTCTTCTGTTGTCCAAACAGAATGACAATTTGCCAAATTCACCTTTAAAAAGCTAGTGAACACCTCCCAAAATATTTTTCAGGAAATCAGTTTTTAGCTGCAGGTAAGAAGTCCACAGTAATACCTTAAAGTAGGAAGGTAACACTTTTGTGTTAATAAATTGCATAATACATACCTACACAATTAAAAATGCATAGGATATTCCTTTTTTATATTAAGAGTAAGCCCATATTTTACTAATAAATATTTCAAACTAAGTACTAGTTGAAGTAATTTGGACAAACAAATTCTTCATAATTACTAATACATTAAAATTTTCCAAATGGATCTACTGAATCTACAAGGAAGACAGCTCCTGAAAATTGGTAAATTTAGAATATTTAGAAATTTAGAAATCTAAAACATTTTTGGATTTCAATTTTGAGAACACTTCTTTTATAAAGCATATATTTTTAAGTAAGATATATATTTACTTGAAGTGTCAAGGCTAGCACATTTTTGTCACTTTAGAAAATTCATAATAAAAATATCTGGAATTTAAGAATACATAATGCTTTAAAAGATTTTTGGTAATTCTGCCAGTACTTATGTTTGCTTATGCTAATTTAAACTAGATTTTATATTGCCATCTATTCTTATATCATCATATAAAAGGTCATAATGTATGTATTTGTATCTGAATAATAAGTATATAACTTTAAAATAATTAAAAATAACACAAATGCATAATATTTCTTAATTATTATAGGGATATGCATACAATCTTTTGGAAGAAATGATCTACATACCTGACAGGTAATGTTCTGTCTCCTTTCCTCCTATCCATTTCTCTTTGGGGAACAGGATACCAGCGGAAATTCAGTTTCCAGTTAAAACCCCCATAAGTCATGTCTGACCCAGCCATATATTCAAAGGTATCATCACTAATCACATCGATGATAGGGCATACAACTGTTTTCCTGAAGAGAAATTAAAACCAATGTACATATAAATGATGATTTAAATATTACATTATCTTCTTCAAGCTGATTATAGATGATATGATGAAATGTAATTATTTTGTGACTTCAACATGCTTTTAGTTTCATTTTTATCCCTCTTCTCTATGGATTTATTTCCTTTGACTATATCTTCCTACTTTACACTATAATGTGAAATCTAATCAATATACTAATAGACCTTCAAGCTGATTTCCAAATGCATTCTAAGTATACAAACTCAGCAGGATGAACATGTTTTATTTTTCACAAAACCTCCACCCACAGCATGATTAGTAGAGTTGTTTTGAGATTATGCATCATTTTAGCTATAACCCACTGAAAAGCAATAGCATTCAGGGAGTGAAGAATGGATGATGGCAAATTAAATCTGGTAGTTTGCATTTTAAATAGGGTAGGTTATTTTAAAGAAATAGTTCTGAGAAAACCTTCATGGAGAAAACACCTACTGGGAAAAAACAAAAGTCAACAAACAACAGCAACAATAAAAATCTTGATCTATCAGTATAAGCAAATGCTTTCTAGGAAGGATAGTAGGGTCATAACAATTTCTGAGTGAATTGTCTTAGAAGAATTTATAGTCTCAATCTAGATGATATTTTAAAATAGAGAAAGATAAGTAACTTTGGTCTCTGGTGTTGTTTTATTCGATTTTTCTTAAAGTAAGAGGAAGAGCCAGGAGGTTTGTGGTGCTCTTCATGGTAGTTTTCTAGGTTAAGACAATTTCACTTGAGGAAATCATTAGGTACTCTCTTAATCCTTGTTGTGCCTTCTCATGTTCTTCCCTTTACTCCCAGATTGTGTATTTTATCATGGAATCAACTTTCTGTCATATCCACAAGTAAATGTTCAGGTCTACCAAAAATTGGAATGGTTCTAGCTAACTCTGAAGACCAGAGCTTGTTTTCCATATGCAAGGTAAATATATAAATAGGATTTGAATCACCCATAGATATGGAAGGTAAAGAAATATTGTCCATTATTTATTCTTGGTTTGTAACACCAGTACTTCCAATGTTCATTTTCAATTGAGTCTTATATTCCACACAATTGGCCAAAGCCTGAAGTTCTCTGAAATCGATAACACTCATCTAGTCTTGGAAAAGCTTCCTGGTGACTCTGGACTCAAGAAAATCAATATTTTTCTCTCTTTGTTAGATTTAATGATTTAACTTGTGGGGAGAAGAAATTAGGTCTAATAGCCTTTAACAGACTTTGTTACCACGTTATGGAAACTTAGAATTTACAATCAAGAAAATAGTTTAGGGTTTATTATATGTAAATAGAGTGTAATTATGTTGTTAGATCATAAATGACCTATGCATGACCATACTGAAACATTATATTAAAAACCCACTAAGTTGAATATGAAACATGTAAAAATGCAGCAATAATGCATGAAAAGTTGCCAGGAAATGCATTTAAAATGTTCTAAGTCTATTTTATTAATACTTTGCCAGTCTTCCTCTCCTGTGAGTACTGTACAATACACAGAGTGGAAAAATGTTATTAGCCATGTGCTACACTCAGTTGACTAAAAGGTTCCTACTGATTTCTTCAACTGCTGTGGTTCATTTTACTGACAGCCTCTATCCATCTTCCTGGCAAGTACCAAATCCTGCCGTTTCAGTGATGTGGCTGATCAAGCTCAGACTAAGCAGCTCCTGTCTTGAATATCTAATTAAAAACTTCAACTCTTGAAAAACTTTTCTACTGTAGATGAAATGATTATGCAAGCAAGGTGTTATGTAATGCCTTATTATTACATGAGATAGCATTTAATGTTAGTTGTCTTCATGAGGTGCTTAGGAATTATATTCGTGTATCACCAATGAGTATGAATATTTGCTAAAAAGAAGCTTGCGCTTCATTCACAGCATCATAATCGGAAATAATTGTAGGCATGTATACATGTTATTCAATTTTTCAGATTTCACAATTTGTATGTATAAAATGACAATATTGTTTAAAGGCTCAACCTTATAATTATGTTCTCTTGTGGTTCTTGATTTTTTTAAATCCCGATTGCATTTCAGTGGTGTGTGTGTGTGTGTGTGTGTGTGTGTGTGTGTGTGTGTGTGGTATGTTTAAAATCTTCAGCATGAATTTGAACTAGACTGACTAAAGGCACTGAGGTAGCACAGAGAACATTGTGGGGAGTGGGAAGAACTGAACTGGTCCCCCGGCACTTCCAATGACTGGGGCAAACTATATAACTTATTTGTTCTTTCTTACTATTAGGTACAGATAAGAACATCTACATTACCTATCTCACAGGGTGGCTATAAGGGCACAAACAGGTTCTTTGAAAATATGTGTCATATGGTACTATTTCGGATGGAATTGATTTCCTTCACCTAAAAAATATTTAACATACTTTTTATTTTTTGAATTATTTGACTATTTCCTAACCAAATATCCACATACAGCATAAATAAGCCGGCCTTATTTATTAAATAAGAAGTGGAACTACTTCTTTAAAAAGCTATAAAATAAACCTGCTGAAAATAGCAACTTGGAAGAGAAATTCTGATGGACATCTGGAACCGTCCTAACAGATTCAATCATAACCCATGCAGACATAACACATGAATTCTTACCTGTCTTCCTTTATTCTTGCCAGCAAGGGCTCCAGCCAGCCCAACGTACATTCACAGTGTGCATCAAGAAAAGTTATGACCTGCCCTTTTGAAGCAGCTGCTCCTCGTAGACGGGCACGTATTAACCCAGAGCGCTCTTCCATCCTAATAATTTTTACTGGCACTTCTAAATTTTTCACATAATTCTCTAATGTCAACTTGAGAAAATCTGTAACATGCAATAAGAATTTATAAGAAAAATCTGAAACCGTTTAAAGACATAGCAGAGATACTGCTGAGATGTATATTCAGTACACAGAAATGGTGGCCAAATCCCATCAATTTTTTTTTGTATTAGATGAAATAAAATAATAGAGATTTCATCAGTTAATTAATATCACAGATCCACAAAGTCATATAAATGCTCAACAATATGATCATTTGGGTTGGGAAAAAAAAAGAAACATCTTTGAAAGTCACTGTGAGGTATATTGATGAAAATTTGATAGGTAGTTGCAGGATTAGTAAAATTACAAAGCAAATATAGAGCATTGCTTAATTATCTTTTTGACTGTAATAAAGCTATATCTTTTTGACTGTAATAAAGCTTTAAAAATACAAGAAAAATAGATTATACCTCTTTCACTGGCATCATCTACCAAGATGACCTCAGAGAGTAGATAGTGTGGGGAACGATTTATCACACTGTACACTGTTCTAAGGAGAGTGCTCCAGGCTTCATTATGAAACACAATGACTACACTTGTGTTTGGAAGTTCATCAGGGTAGACTTTTGTCTTGCATCTGGAAAAGAAGGAAGAAGAGGGATGTTAATAAATTCATTTCTCATCCTGATCATTGTAGTAAGAAATATCAATAATAACATAACTTCAGAAGTGCAGGCTTCTTACTAAGGAAATGTTTTATGAATATCTAAAATCATTTTCCCTTTTATAAGTGCTGTGAGTAATCACTTGGCATTTTGAAAATTAAATATGCATAATTACTAATATTTTATGTTAACTCCTGGAGGGAACAAAGCAGCATGATTTCCACAGGTCTAGGAAAAATCTAAGAAAGCTAAAATAACATTCTGAGACAGATTGTGAATAAAAGACCAGGTACAACAGGGAGAGATGAATTCATTTAGTGAATATAATTTTATTCTTTGTTTAGAAAAAGATAATTATTGTATCACTCAAGCAGTCATAAGAACATAAATAGATATGGGTCCACAGGGCTTTGAAGCATGTAAAATCAAGATTATTTTTCTGTTCTGAAATCTAGTCATGTATGCTTTTTATTCCATTTGAGAATGCTACTATCAAGAAAACATTTAAGTTTCCTTTAGATTCTGAATCTATTAAATGCATCTGCCCCTTAAAATATCCTTAATTCCTGGAGATAAAGAAAGGGAATGGGCTGGCAGCACTTCTCAGACATTAATTTGCGTGGGTGGCAGTCACCTAAGGATAAAACAAGCACCATATGTACTCACCATCAAATTGGTATTAACTGATCAACACTTACATGCATATATAGTAGTAACATTCATCGGGTGTCCGGCATGTGGGAGGGGGAAGGAAATGGGTTTATTCACACCTAATGGGTGTGGTGCACACCATCTGGGGGATGGACACGCTTGAAGCTCTGACTCGGGTGGGGCAAAGGCAATATATGTAACCTAAACATTTGTACTCCCATAATATGTAGAAATAAAAAATAAACCAGATTCTACTTCATTGGGTCTAGGGTGGACCCTGAGATTCTGTATTTCTAAAAAGCCCCCAGATGATTCAGATGCTGCTGGACCCTGGCTGCACCATAATTGTCATTACTTTTAATACGTAATGTTTTCAGAAATGCTTTTAACTTTGCTTATAAAGCCAAACAAGTCCAGATTTTTCTTTTCAAGCAATCAATCCAAAAATGTACGCTTGTATAAATAATATGTGCAGAGCTCTCTGTGGTCAAACCAAATTTAACGTGCAGTCATTCGTTGTTCCTGTCAACTTGTCAACATTCAGACATTTCTGTCATGTAATTTTAAATCATCATGATTATAGATTATAAAAAAATGTCATGAGGTATCTGGAGCTGTAATAGCAGTTTAGTCTCCTTTGGTTATTTTTTCATGTATAATATTCTGAAGAGCTAGAATATTTAAATTTTTTCATAAAATAAAATAAAACAGATGATACTTCCTGCCACTTATGAATGGCCTAATACATGACACAATGCAGCATTGTTAAAATTAGTTTCCTTCAGAAGTGATTGAAAAAAAGACAATAAGATATGAGAGACAAAGACAAATAATAAAAAAGAAAATACTGATTATGTGCCTGTTGAGATCTTTAGCATCTTTAAAAATAGTCTAAAATATCACCTACTCAGTGAAGTCTCCTGTAATATAGCCAGGTAAAAATGTACATATACTTCAAATTTAAATATTTCCATCATATATTATTTGAAAACAAATTCGTTAAACATCCAAAATACAAAAGATACTGTGCATATAAAAAAATTGAAATGTAGGGCATGGAAAAAGTAGTTGGATTCGTAGTCATCACTTCTCATTAAGGGGGCCAGACTGAAATGATTTCTATGTGCTTCATCACTATAGAGCTTTCATCTCCACATAGCCATCACCAAATGAACTTAGAAAGGCAGCTTGGTACATGAGACAGGTTCTCTTCACCATTTTTCTCAAAGCTTTCACATAGCCATCACCAAATGAACTTAGAAGGGCAGCTTGGTAAATGAGAAAGGTTCCCTTCACCATTTTTCTCAAAGCTTCATTCTTCTGCATTAAAAAAAAAACTCCACCACTTTTAGTATGCAAAGCAAAAATTATGGTAGGCATAATTACTGTCATCAAAGAAGTAAAGCTAGAAAAATTGGCTGAAAGCAATCCAACAGTCAATAGCCAATAGCCACTGGTTTAACCCAAGGATTAAAGTCAATAAACGCTGCTCAACATCATTTGGAAAAAAGAGATTTTGTTTGAATCAAAATTTTTTATATGTTATTCTAAATGTCAACAATTAGATAAAGTATTTAAAAATCAAACTAAAAGTATATATTTAGATACCAGCATCTTAAAACTATTTCTATCAAGCTTTATTTTGGTGATTAAAATTCCACTCACAAATGTTAGTTTTATTTTCATTATATGTGTCAGGGTTATAATGAATTAATTTACTATCAATACAGCTTGTATGCTTGCTTAGATAAAATTTCCACTATTTCATTATTTAATGTAGCATAAAAATGAGATGTGACTCATATTTTTATTAATTTTTCCTCTTCTTTCTATGTAAACAGTCATTCATCATATGGTACAAAGGTTCAGTTATGTGTGATGAGTAAGTTTGGGAGATCTGATAATGTACAGCATGGTGACTAGAGTTAATAATACTATATTGTATACTGTATTTAAACTGAAATAAGAGAGTTGATCTTAAATTTTCTCACCACAAACAAAAAAATTATAAGAATGTGAGATGTGGTAATCATTTAACAATGTTTATATATATCAAAACATCAAGTCACAGATCTTAAATACATAAAATTTTTATTTATTAAGTATATCTCCATAAAGCTGGGGAAAAGGTCATTTAGCAGCGAAGACTTTGTATAGAATAAAATAACATATAAGATAATTCTTAATCTATAAAAATTAATCATTTGATTATCCATGTCAGTTTATCCAGTTATCTTAAATGCACAGACTTGTATAAACAAGAATTATGCTTGTCATGATTCCTGATGAGTTTGTGACATACTGAACTGGTGTTTTTTTTTTATATTTCATCAAAGCTATTGTTTCACCTATGGTAAGATAAACTACATTTTTATTTACCAGGAGGAAGGGAAAAAAATGTTGTGGAATAAACTATAGCACAATGCTTTCTTATCATTAGAATCTATTTAAACTTTAATAGAACTTACAGAAAACGTTTTAAAATGTTTTGGACATAAATTTCTATCAATATTGTCATGCTTGATTTATAAATCACTCACATCTTTCTTGTTGCTTTGAAGTTTCTTTCACTTATTCTAAGGAGTTTCTCTATCACTAAGTAGTATTGCCTAGTTTATGAGAGACAAAGATTTGGCACATACCTCAGTAACAAATATAAAACAGCTTCATTTTGTTGTGAATATCCTCCTTGGTGCTATGAAGTGGTGCTTTTCAAACCTTGAGGTGCAAATGAATTATGTGGAGACCTTGTTAAAATGCAGATTCTGATCCAATAGATCTGGTGTGAGCCCAAGATTCTGCATTTATAAGATCCTTGGTGTTGCCCACATTCCTGGCCGGTGGTGGTTGACATGATTAACAAGCAAGGCTATATAAATCAGTCAGCTGTTGTTTAGCAAGAAAATATAGAACCATAGTCATTGCTCCAATAACAAATATTTGCTTAATTATATGAAATTCAATTCTTGCTGCTGTTTCCTTTCCTTTTCTTTTTTAGACAATAACTTTGTGTTGTAATACTGAATCATCATGTAATCTTTTTGAAGAAATGGTGAATGCCAGGTAAACTCAATGAACATAGTATAAAGAGTACATATAACTTAGTGGAAGCAATGACTATATGAATAAGTATGTCCATATTCAGACAAGCTTAAGAAATATTGCCTCTATAACAACTGCCAGCTAGTAGACAATGATTGTAATGAACCATCGACTGTAAAATACATCCTGATTTTAAACAAGCAAAATGAAAAAGTGAACATCTTAGAACAAGTGAATACAATAGTTTTGTTGTTGTTTAGCCAAGAAAAAAGTACTTAAAGTGCCTTAAAAAATGCCTTAGGATCTAAGCTGGCTCACTGATTTTTCCAGAAATAATTCAAAACAAACAAAACAAAAAAATCTATATAATGGATGTGAAGGTAAATACTTACAATAAATAGATAGGATTTGGCTAATAATATATTCTCCCTGGTACATGAGAAACAACTTGTTCTTTGTGATATTAAAAGAATAATTTTTACCACTTTTTACCTCAGCTTACCTATCTTTTACATAATAAGATTAAAGTGGGTAATCGCAAAGGTCTTGTCTGAAATGTGTAGTAGACATTGCTTGGTTAACAATGCAGAGTAAAGTTCAGAATCTCTAAATGGTAAAACTGGAAAGGACTCTCAAAGATGACTAATTCGAACCTTCATTTCACAAGGTACAAGTCTCAAGTCACACAGCTATTTCAATATTCTGTATAATAAGGTCACAAATAATAAGAAAGTAATAAAATTATTAACAATGATTTTAGCCCCAAATTATTTTATAGGCTATACCAAAAGTTAAATGATATTGTTTAGAAAAAGATGATAAAAATCAGAAAAGTTAGAAAACAATTTGAATTCCTTTAAAATATATTTTAAGAACCTTTCAAATATACATCCTTGTATCAGATAGGAAAATTTCCCTAGGATCATTTCATTAAAACTAAGCATAGAATATCAGCTTTCATTGAAATTACATATAGACATACCAAATACTCTTTCAGCAGCAAGCCCTATGAAGACATCATTTGTTTTCCTTTATGTAATAATCTAAATGAAATTGGCAGAAATTGGCATTATTGTGGAGCACAATGTACATGTAATTAACTTTCAGATTAAATGTGGCAAACTACAATAGAAATTTTCATCAATCTGGAAAAAAATATTGGATGTCCACTAATCAAATCAAGTGCCTGAAATCTGATATTCCAGTGAAAACATAAGCTTTATCATGGCAACATTACATATAAACACTATATTTTGGCATGCTGAATTTATAATACTTG